TTATTTGTGTTTAAAGCCTTACACGGCCTTGCCCCACCTTACTTGGCAGATCTTTTATCTGTTTATGTCCCATGCAGAGCCTTGCGCTCCTCGGAAAACTTATCCCTAGTTGTCCCACAGTCCCGATCCAAAAATTGGGGGGGACTGCGCATTTGCCATTTATGGCCCTTGACTGTGGAACTCACTACTGCTAGAGATTCGATCTATGACCGAGCTAATGGTTTTTAAATCCAGATTAAAAACGTATCTTTTTAAACAAGCTTTTGAGCTTTAATTTGTTTTATTTGCCGTTGAACGGCATTGTGCACATGTTTTATATTTTATGATTATTGGGTTATGGTTTAGTAGTGCTCTGTTGGTTTTAGTATTGTTTTTAGTGTATAGTTATCCTTATTTTGTGCAGCACTTTGGGCTCCCCGAGTTGTAAAGTGCTATATAAATGATGTTTATTATTGATTTCTTTTCTCAAGATTGCACAGGATTGTTTTCTAAATTTAAATTGAAGTTCATATTTTATTAGCATTTTATGTGGACTTTACTTATTATTACCATACATATTGGTCAGTAAGTGTTGAGTCAAAGTCGACAAAGCAGTCCAATTGTCTGAACTGGCTCTCAGTTAAACAGCTGTCAGCTAATGAGACCTGCAGGTCAACTGGAAAAACCTGGCAAGTTGCCTTGGCAACCAGTCAGGGCACAACACTTTACTCAGTGCCAGGACCCTCAAGTATTCGAATGATATCACTGAACATTTCTATTTTGTGCGTTTGGCTGATGATCCTAACCACACACAGACAGTGGCGAGTTTGACTGAACCAACCTGGATCTCAAGCAGGCTCTCCTCATCGTTTTTAGAGTTGTTCCTCTTATCTAGGCCCTCTCCTCGCAGCAGAGCCTCCAGTGTGGTGCCCTGGCTGGGCAAAGTGTCCTTGGACATGAGGCCTCCGTCTGCACAATAACACAAACAGGCAACGTGATGAACCATCAAAATACTATTAGGGCATGTCTTTTGTTCACTTCAGGTGAAACAGTTCCACAGATATATAATCAAAGCAATGGACCTGTGTATTTCCACCAATCCAACTTATGTGTTATATTAATCCTTCAGCATGTGCTGTTCTTTCTCATGCATCAGCATCAAGCACTGCCGTTTTGATAAGGACCATCAGCGCTACAATCAGTGACCTGTGTGAGCAGCACGTTGCCATTATGTCTCTTTTCTTCCACTTACATTAGACTTAACAAATGTGAGCCAAACTGCTAGAGCATTGGTTTGTTATAGTGGCTGTCATATGTATTATTTTGCCTGCATCAGAATGTGTCATTGCAACTCTTTTAACAGCACTATATCACTGTGAGAAAAAAAAAAAAAAAACACGTATGTTTTCATTCTGAAAGAGAATGCGTTTTCATTGGTGAGCCCTCCACTAATGTTGTAGAATATCAGGCCGACTTTGTCACAGGAATCTCTGAGGTACAATGTCATTAAGCGGCTCATCATTTTCACCTGAACGCATCATGCAGTTATCTCCTCCTACAATGAGCTGAACATCTAAACAAACAGTGTAGGAGGCGAGCAGGTTGAGCAAAGCAAAGCAAACAAAAGCTTTGACAGTCAAATCCACATAGTCTCCTCTCCACTGAGACCATGATCACCGAGTTGCTTTATGGATGTTTGAAAAGAAGATGCACTTCAAAGACCCTTTGGCGCCAGTTTACTACCAGCCCTTCATATCACCACTGCGCATCCTAGAAAGACTTGTACAGAATACTGAATATGACACGCTGAAGCCACAGAGGTGCATAGGTAAGAGATGTACTTTAAGAGGAAGGCCTGAGGAGTAGATACAACATGCTTCTCTAAAATGGGCCCCTCCACAGTGCAGTGGCAGCCCCTCTCCATTGTGTCTGCACATGCTGACTTTCAACTCTCCACGACGAGACAGAACCCAACCACCACCACCACCTCTCTCACTCCCAACTCATGGGAGCTGGGGGGCTAAAAATAGACCAACAGCAGCCTGCAGCAGGAAGCTGATTCTGCATGCAGTCCCAGTCTCTAGCACTAGCATCAGTTAGATGGGCTGCCAAGGCGACAAGACAGACACTGGCTGCCGCCTCTGGCCAGCTACACAGTGTGCTCCGTATACGAGATGGCAGGTTAAAGCGGGGTATTTTCCCCTTTGTTGGGCACTGGCACACAGTACATACAATCCACTGTTGCTGGAGAAGGGAAAGGACAGCAAGTCCGCGGTGGCAGGGTCTTAGTGAGCGCCAGCTGAGAGGAAAACAATAGATTACAATGGGATGTGTTTGGGAAACAAAGGCTTGGTTCATATACGCTCTCTCCATCTTGAGATCTCGCTCCAGGCTTTCTCAGTTTCTCAGCTTCTCAAACAGAGGTCATTCCACTATGCAATACAGACAGAAAGCATCATGAAGATGGAGATTTTTGTCAGAACACAATGAATTTCTCACAGCCTTTTACAGAAACTACTGGAAAGTAAAAGATCATATATAACATGATGTTTGAGATTCTCTCCTCTGTCATGTTAATTCCTTAGGATAGTGTCACATGCAAACTTCGGCCAGAGTACCAGGTACCTGAGGTCTGGAAATCAGGCCACAATAATACACAGCAGACTACAGCGACAGATCGAGAGATAAAAGAGACAAAACCAATAAGTAAGGGAGGTCGTAAGTAGAAGATCAAGAAAGAATATAGGGGAGAGGGTAAATGTGTTGAGTGAGCTGTTTCAAATGGCAGTCTGCGAAGACCAAACTCCATTCTATAATATTTATTAAATACCGTCTGCAGTGGCCGAACCCGCTCGCTGCTCCCAGCAGTGGTAAATCTAATTACATGTTCTACTTCGCACTAAACAAGTTTACCAGCTGGGGCGAACACAACCACATTTTATCCTCTGAAAAATGACTGGCAGCCTGTTCTGCTTGCTGCATGGAGACAGAGTGATATGCTTTTAGTGAGATTATTACAGATCATCACCAGTAATCACATGAGCTAAAGGAGGTGGGTGGGAGACAGGGTGAAAGAGATGTCTAAGTGAGAGGGGGAGACTACAAGGAGCAGGATGTGACAGGTGAAGTTGCAGGGGTCTTACCAAGCTGGATACCATAAATGCCCAGACTGGGATCTGTGGCGTTGTGAAGCCGTCTCTTCCTCCAGCAACGGGCGGGGTATGTGTACATCTGCCCAGCAGCGGCCCCTGTGCAGTAACAGTTGTATACATGCCAACAAAGACAGTTTCAGGTTTTGTACCATGATGATTACAAAAATGCTTTCAGATCTGAAGTTTTGCTACTTATAAGAGTAAAGTCAAACTGTAACACTGATTATATTCAAGTGAAGTCAAGAATCTTTATTGTCATTATGCATAGCACAATTTTTTTCTGGCAGCTCTCGGCTTAAAATACAGACACATTATTTATATAACACACAATCGTATAAGTCAATATAAAACAATGAGCAAATAAAAAGGGATGTATGGATCTAATCAGGTCAGCAGCATGTTAGCAGCAAGAGTGTAGTAACATTATGAGGTGCTGCTCAGTGCAAGTCTCAGATCTCTCAAATATTGACTTGTTTGCAAGAGATGCCTGTACTGAAATTTACACTAAATTTCCCAAGCATTACTGAGATCAGTATATTGCTGAGGCCACTTGAACATCACAGTTAGTGCTAAAAACAATGTTGATGCTAAATTAATCAGAAACAATGCTGTGGCTGTCTACGGGGTTTACTGCTATTCTTTGTTTTAAGGCTGCTACAAATGATTGTTTTCATTATCAATTCATCTATCACACTGATGAAAAATACCTATAGCAATTTCCTAGAGCCCAAAGTGATGTATTCACGCAAGTTGTTTTGTCTGACCAACAGGCCAAAACCCAAAGATTTCCAATTTACAGTGATACAAACAGAAAATGTGCCTCTAATGACAAGAGGAAACACCATAAATCATTATTTTTATACAATTATTTTTCTGGCGACTAACTGTTTCAGTCCAATTTTGTTTTACATCATTTACTCTGAATACTTTTTGGGTTTGGACTGTTGGATGAACAAAATGAAAAACCTGAAGAGTTACCTTGGGCTGTGGCGCAAGGAGCTTTGTTTACTACTTACTCATTAAATGACTGATTAAGAAAAGAAAAAAAAAAAAGTGTTTTCCCACCGGGGCTGCGGTGGTGGCGTTCCATCCAGATGTAGCAGTTGTTCTGGGCCACACCGGTCTGCGAGTCCAGGAACGGCAAGCGGACGCTGCGCTCAGCACACAGCCGGGCATTGTAGCTGCGGCACTGTTCAATGGCCTCCTTATAGAACTGGTCGCCCAACCTGCCAAGAGGAGATGTTAGTGAGATCACACTGAGTGACTGTAACACAGTTCAGGCAGTGGTGTGACGGCTACTCTGAAGAACTGGTCCAGAAAAGGTGCGTCACTGACGACATATGAGAGTATATTTGCCAAATCCCCGATATGTAAATAAGTCATTTATTCTTATGTGTGTCATTAAATTGGCTTGTTGCTCTCATGGCTACAGATCATTAAGTCAGCTAGCTGAGGCAGCTATAAGATGATGGAAAGCAAATCAATACAAAGAAATAAGACAAGTACCAGTTGCTTCTATAAGACAAGAGCAAAGCAGAGGTATATTTGACCTTTTACACTGTCTGTATACACGGAAATCCTGTCCAGAACTCAATTAAGGTTGTTGACATCTGTTCAAACTTCTAATGAGCCCTGTTCAACAGGAGCATCAAACTGACAACTGAGCTTTGACATCTGGGAGAATTTGTAGAAGGAAGCAAAACAATGCAACCCCGTTACAACAGGGCAACGCAGCTCCTGAGGTTAAACATATTACCTCTGTGGGCTCTTTGTCTGATCTGATTCTAGATAGGCTGCGAGCTACAACGGTGCTGCTGAGTTACATTATCGCAACAGCACTGGGGTCTGATATAAGTCACTCCTTCAATCAGCAAGCACCAGAGACTCTTACAATGTAGTTCCACTTTTCTTAGCGCCACTGAGATTTTGGCGGTCCCTCAGGGTTTCAACGTTAATATTCAGAGTGAAATGGGGAGGATATTTCACATTCAAGCCCTCAACCGCTGCCACATGCCTGGTATGGTAATTAGCTTACTTAATTAATCTCAGCAGAGTTCTTAGCACAGGGGCAGTTTCTAATTTCACTATATCAAAAATGGGGGCAAATGCTACAACTCTGAAATCATAGCAAGGTACAGTGCTCTGTGTGCAATTTCCACAGTGTGCTGTTTTATCACAGGGCCAACAGGGCAAATAATACTGTAGCAACTGGTTCTTCTAGTGTGAACATAACCACATCCACATAATGAAGTTCCTCCCTGTGCTCTTAATTACAATGTTAGGAAGGCAGCCATTTTGAAGTGAAATTAATCAGCTGAGGGCTGCGAGTTAAGTTTGGTATGTAAAACTATATGTGGAGGTGGGAGGCTGATTTGTCAGCGGCTCCCAGATCCTGATCTCCTTCCTTCTTGCTGACTTTGCCCCTCTGTGATGTGTTGTGTGGCAGACGAACAGCGGTGCTAGGAATGCTGTCCCGCACAAAGCCGCAGTGTGTGAGTCTTCCAGGGAGGACAGGGTTGGTGTCAGTGTCTCTGAGAAGAGTAAACAGTCATAGGTACAGAGTGAGCACAGGGAGAGGTGGAAAGAAAAATAAAAGTAAGAGTGAGAGAAGAGGTTAAAAAGGTAACAAACAGATCACGCCTAACGTCTATGGCACGTATTCCTTCATATAAAGACAATGGCTTTATTGTGGGTAATATTCATATTAGTACTGTTCACTGCCTTGTAGAGATGCCGTGCATGCATATAAAGCAAACAGCAATTTCTCTGAGGTACTGGCACTTTGTCAGGCTTTAATTTTTACAAGAGAAATCACACAAGGATATATTCAAAACAGAAAGCTGAAGAGACAGGTTCACATGTTTGACATCTCCACCAGTAGCTTCATCAAGGAGTGTCTTAAAAATACACTTCTGGATTCCTTATTTTCCACCATATGTGGACAGTGTAATTTCCAAAAGCAAATCCCTGTCAAACTAACCTGTGCACTTCATGGCCATTCTCTGACATCAACACGTGGCTCTGATGTGACATATCAGTTTGCTGACAGCAGGCCAACTGCTAATGCTCTCTGAAGTCTGCTACAAGCTCAAAGGATACACACTGTGGAGTGCCAAGAAACTCCTGAGATTACTCACGTTGAATGGGCTGAGAGGATGCCGATCAGTCTTACATCAAATATGTAAGGGATAGGGGAGAATTTGGGGAGGGACTCAGAGAACAAAGATGTCTGGCTTTTGGCGCAGCAATATGCCCCCCCATCGGAGTATCCGCTGCCCCGAGCAGCAGGTGTGCTGACTTAGGTGTGAGATTGTTCTCACACTTGTAATGAGTGACAAGGCCCACACGTCCAGTGACACGGGATGAGAGGGAGAATCCTACCTCTCTCAAACACACAAACCACCGCCATCTCAGAAATGATGACTTTTCCCCCCTTGCCGTTTTGAGGTGTGAATTTTTGTTTTTTCCACTGTTCTTCACAACTGAGGTGGTTTGAGAATAATTCAAGTTTATTATTAGCTTAAAAAGAAGTCTCATGAGGCCAACAAAAAAGTAGTCTGACAGTTATGCAGATTTTAAAGCAAACATACTTGGAAGACAAAACAAAGGCAAGTGGTAAATTTATCAGCATCCACACTAATGCTCTTCTGTTCTTTATTTATTGTGTGGATGTGAACCGCCCACACTATGTTATCCTATTCTTTATTATTGTGTGGATGCTACTATGTTTTCCTCTTATTATGTACTATGTTATCATATGTTTTCCAAATTTTTATTGTATGGATGCTGACTCAGCATCCATACCTTGTTTTCCAAATCTTTATTGTATGGATGCTGAGTCAGCATCCATACTATGTTTTCCAATTATTTCTTTATTGTTATTATTATTATTCTTCCGTACGTTTTTTGGCACTCTACTTCAGCATACTTTCAGCTAGAAAAGCTATTCAGGTATCAAAATGTTCGGCTTTTTCAGGAAATGCGCGGATGTATACAACCTTTTTGTAACTTTTATACTTTTTAAAATATTCAGCTTTATTCTGAAAATTTTTCCCCACTCAAATGAATGGGGACATTTTTACTTCTTCATACTTTCAGCAATTTCAGCTATTAAAATGTTCAGCTCATCAAGGACATTCATACTACTATTCAGATCTTTTGAAAGCTTCGTACATTTTAAATAATTAGCTTTATTTTGAAAACCTTGCCCCATTCAAATGAATGGGAAAGTCCAACTTCAGCATACTTTCAGCTAGCAAAAGCATTTAGGTGTCAAAATATTCAGCATTTTCAGGGCGATCTTTCAGCACTCAGCATCCATACGCATTTTCTTTAGAAAATGCAATTTTCTAGTTATTATTATTATTCTTCCGTACTTTTTTTGGCACCCAACTACTTCAGCATACTTTCAGCTATCAAAATGTTCAGCTCTTCAAGGACATTCATAGTACTATTCAGAAGTTTTCTAAACTTCATACATTTTAAATATTTAGCTTTATTTTGAAAATCTTGCCCCATTCAAATGAATGGGAAACTTCCACTTCAGCATACTTTCAGCTATCAATCGGTGTGTGTATGTTGTGCGTGAATGGGTGAATGGTGTATCATCTCTGTAAAGCGCTTTGGCCAGTGTAACACACTGTGGAAATGCGCTATATAAATATTCCATTTACCATCAAAATGTTCAGTTCCCGAAGGACATTCATACTACTATTCAGAAGTTTTCTAAGCTTCACACATTTTAAATATTTAGCTTTATTTTGAAAATCTTGCCCCATTCAAATGAATGGAAAAATTCTACTTCAGCATACTTTCAGCTATTTCAGCTATCACAATGTTCAGCCCCCTCCTTGAACCGCCACCTTATTGTGGTGGAGGGGTTCGAGTACCCGAGTGATCCTAGGAGCAATGTTGACGGGGTCTATATGTCCCTGGTAGGGTCTCGCAAGGCAAACAGGTCCTGGGTGACGGGTCAGACTAAGAGCAGTTCAAAAGCCCTTTATGAATAGATTA